CGATGTCATCACCAGTGTGAAGAGCTTGAAGGCCACCAGGTTATATTGTGAATGGGCACAAGTCAACAACGTGGGACATAATTTGAACTTGTCCACAAGGGTGTTTACTTTCATTGTGAAGGCCGCACTGGTATAGATCTGAGGCAGTGACCCTGTCTAGTTCAAAAAAGCATTGAGAAGTGCCCAATAATGGTGTGGCCAGTTAAATCCTAGTTGACTGACTGTCAGGTCAGAAATGATGTGGTGACTGATTGGTGTTTGTGCTGACCATTCTTTGTGCCACTGAGTAAGGAAAAAAGTCAAAGGCTTTTGAAAGGATTGACCATATTGGGTGTCTTGAGGGAAGCCAAGCTACTGGTAGGTGAAATATGTTTCTCGTGATCATGACTCGCATTAAATGACATGGACTAGCAATATACTACATTTTAATATGAGGGAATTTCAGAGAGTAATGGCAATTTTGAAATAAAACAATTTTGTATGCTATGATCATTTACTGGACCATACCATTTTTTCTACATAGTCATAGATGATGGGTCTGTTCAACAATGTCACCATCAGCATTCCCTGCTGCTGTGTAGTTTCCACTCACTGAACACATAATGGTTTTATTTCAGAATTGCCATTACTTTCTAGAACACCCTCATATGTTTAAGATGCATCATAAATATACTACATTGATTATATTTCCATCTACCTTGATGTGCATTTTCCAGTGTCTACTCAGTGTAAACACCAAGTAGCCACTGGAAATATACTGGACATTTTCCAGTGTCCTAAATGGAGAATTCTTTCCTCTCAAGAGGGACGCTTTTAGGCAAAGCCATTATTTCCACATGGACCAGGCACAACAACAGGCTCACCAACCTCCAGGAAACTCTTCTCTAAGGCCACACGTATGTTGGTCTCTATGCTGGTGCGTTTCTTCCTCCTACGGTTCAAGCCCTCGATTCCCAGCCCTGGGGAATTCAGGGCACTTGGGGTGGAGAGAGCTGAATCAGATGAGAGGTTTTCTGAAAGAGAAGAGAGCATGAAGCAGCAAGAAATTATGCTATTTCAATGCACTGCAATCTAATGGAAGCATCCTGCATATATTATGACTTGTGTGAGAGAAGGCAAAAGGCACCCTGTATTTGTTACAGGCCCAACAGTGCTCCTTCACAACACAAGCATTCAACCTTGAGATGACCAATTATACCTAAAACAGACATGCTTTGTGCAGGGCCTGTTGTCTTCTATGCCCTGCACTTCACAACAATGTTAATTTATTACATCTCTATAAAATACCTTTCATTCCCATCTTTCTCCCTATTTTATTCTGGCACATGATTGGAAACATCACCAAATTGTCTCTCATACCCACAAGCCCCCAGTAAAACATGTATTGCCTTGGAAAGGCAGAATGAAGAAGAAAACGAAGACTTTTTCCCCCAGAGTCATGGCTGAATGCTGGTCACATGGAGCATGATCAGAATCCATTTGCCAGTGTCACTTGCCCACCCTTTGCAGCCCAGTCAAAAACTAGACATTTGACCCTGTCACAATCACTGCCAAACTGGCAGTAGCTTATGGATGAACAGCCAAAAGCTGCTGCCAATTCAGCAGCAGCCTTGGCAGGTTTACATTTCTAGCTTTCAGCTGAGCAGCAAGGGGAGGGCAAATTAACCCAGAAAATGGACTCTGCTCCTGTTCCAGGCAGCCAGAGAGGAGCAAAGCTTCTACAAGTCATTCCAGCATCCCCATGCCTCCATTCCAGCACAGAAATCAAATTTCCTCACTTAAGAGGGGCACCCTAATTTTGGAGAATTAATGTTTGGGGAAAAGGTGTATTTGTATGTGAGTAAATATGGTAACTGAGGCACAAGGCAAATGATCATTTTCACCAATCGTTCTTTTTAAACAATCTCCAGACAGCCTTGTTCTGTGAGCTATGACACTTGTGCTACTGTCTAAGCCCCCCAGCACAGAACTGCCTTCCCCTGCTCCCCTCTCTCAGGGAAGGAAGAAGTTTGTAGTTAGTTTCAGTAGTTCATCCACTCTACTCCCCCAGGTCTTAGCTGACATCTTTACTAGGCTGCCTACTGGCTGCAAGGTGGTATTTACCTCCCTGATTCTCTTCTACATGGCTCTGTAAGATACTAACGAAAGACACAGAAACTGAGTTGATTCCCCCTTGTGGAAAAAGGCAGAGAACAAAGGGAAGCTGCAACAGGCCATATTGGGACAGGGCGACTGCAAGACAGAAACTTGAATTTCAGCTGCAGAATCCTGGAGTTTACAGGGCCCTGGGTGAGATGAATGGGTGAGGCAAATCACACTGCTCAGTGCTTCTGTTCTAGTTTCTTTGCAGATTCAAATGGGCACATATATTCAGCCTGTATTTTCAAAGTTATTTTTGCAATCATAAGGGACAGAAATTTATTTATTTTAAATGAAAATTGAGATGCTGGTGGACAAATCTATAGCAGTTAATAAATTCTATGATCACAGAATAAATGAGCTGTTGCTAATAATGTTTCTCTGTGTAGGTGTGCCTACTTAGGTTTCAATCTAATTCCAGCTGAAGTCAGTGGAAGCCTTTTCATGGCCTATAATGGGAGGCATATCACACACCAACATGTTCACCAAAAACCCAGAAATGTCATGTCCCCAGGCCAGTTAGTAAGTTTCTGTTGATATTTCATGTTGGCAGACAAATGCAAAGCCCTAAAGAACTCAATGGAACTTCCCTGTTTGGATATTATGAAATAATATTTCATCGGCACAGTTAATCAATTCTAAAATTTCAGGGGACAAACTGGACATCAACATGTAGAATCTTATTGCTTCGGTGAAAATCAAAAAAACAGAAGGTAAAAAATGAGGGAAATCGCGGAATCCCTGACATCTGGATAGAAGATCGATGAGATTCTGCTAGACTTGTGTCTAACTGAAGATCAACTAACTGATGGATCAACACCTGTAATACTCTTAACCCATCTGAACTCTATTCATTGACCTTAACAGAGGCTGAAATGTTGATACCATAAATGGTTTATCTCCCAGTAAAAAATAATAATGGGCAAAAGGGCCATGGAGAGCCCTGGGCATGGGTGAGAATATACAGAGGTGCAGCTTGATGGAGGGAATGACTGTGGAGAGTTCCTAAAACAGGGTGAGATGGGAGGAAACCCAGGGGACAAGCAAGGGGGCTGACAGGAAGTGTGTGTATGCAAGGTGCAACACTGTGTGCAGCAAAGACTGCTGACTGAAGTAATAGCACATTACACCTCTATGAACTACAAGACCTAGACAGTTTAGAATTCATATGCATATATGTACACTAAAAAGCATGGCATATACTTTTCCCTCACTCCATCCAATGACTCCGACTGTAGAGCCCATATGAGCGTTTCAGAGGCTTTTTATTAACAAGCCTTGTAAGGCTGAAACCAAACAGATCAGTAAAGTATTTTTTACGATACCGTTGGGTTTGTGGCAGGATTGTGAGATCTGCCGACTTGCTCACCTGCATCATTAAGCCACTTTTCCAGAAGTGGCTTTAACTTGCACATGTTCTTAAAGCTGAGGTTCAAGGCTTCAAAGCGAGAGATGGTAGTTTGGCTGAAGTCATTTCCATAGAGTTTGCCCATAGCGAGCCCAACATCACCCTGCACAGAGAGAAAGAAAAAGTACTCATTAACATAAGATTCTTTGCTACAGAAGCCCCTGCTGTTCCCCACACAGCTCCAGCTGACAGACAGGCAGGCGTTTGTGCGCTTTCATTGTAATCCCATTGCACACTAGGAATTCAGGTGCATAGAAATTTGCTCACTGCTAGGAGGACTTGTGAGAAAGTAGATAATCATGAATGATTGTGATTCTTGCCTATCCTCAACTTCCTAAGTTTCAAAGAGGTACCAGGTGTTTTGCCTTGGTCTCAACAGTAAAATCACCAGGCACCACATCCCACTTAGTATTAAATCATAAGAGTGTTTCCTCTACTAAAAGATACAGCCAGGGATCTCTTGCAGACTGAGGTGAACACATACCAACTTAGTATCAAGGAAGAAAAGTTCTCAGTTGTCTTGTTTGAATTCACTGAGCTGTTATAGCCCCCGGTCACTAGTCAAACTTCCAACAAACTGTGAAAGGACTGGCGATGTGCCACCACCATATTTCAAGGACATCATAAAAGGTGCTCATTTGAGTTTCTACTAAACTTTATCTTGCAGTGTTCACATCAAACATCTCCATCTAATCTTTATTTTAGAAGCGAGAAAAAAGTTGAACTACTCCCAATAATAACTACCGTGGGGTTTCCAACACCATCACACATCTGTCAAAGGGAAATCAGGAAGCTTATAGCCAAACTGCTGCCATTACTACATATGGCATTATTACCTCTCCAAACTCATTTTTGGCTCCATCTCAACCATTCTGCTGGCACTTGCATTTATACATATGGATCTCAATGTGTTGTGCGCTCAGGAGTGAGTTGTTATCAAATTAAACTAAACAGGAAGTGGTGTCATTATTATTTGGACTGCAGACCTCCAAGGAAAACCCCAGATGGTTGATTCTTTAGCAGGTGATACCCTATTCCCTTACTTAGTCCTAAGGCATTCCCTCTGCAGACACTCAAAGGCACTGATATGCTTGTCATTTTTTAAAACTAATTTGAAAATTTAGTTCCTGACTGTGGTTATTAAAAACAGTCTCTTAGTACTTTTTGCAAGGGCAGAGGTGCTGCCCATGGTGTAAACTTAATCCCATTTAGAGAAAATGTATCTACAGAAAATGTACTATAGAAATAGTGGTTTGCATCCATGCCACACAATTTTACAACAATTTTGAAAGGTTGTACAAAGAGACATTGAGAGGATTGTTCGTGATGGACACAGTTCAATTTAAAATGCCATAGCTAGATTGCAAACAGTACTTGCTTTATTTTCTCCCAAGGCAGCCCCACTACCAGAGACTGGTCTCAACAAACTAAGGGAATGCATAGAGGTTACTTTCAAACCAGCAAGAAAGATTTTAAAAAACTGTAAGTTAAAAAATGCATGTACAAAAAATTCCTTCCAAAGATGGATCACAATCACTGATTGTTCACCAAGCTACTTGGGCAGAAGAGAAATTGGGTAACACCTTACAAATATGGCCTCTATCTGTCCCATGATTCTGTGTATTCTGAAGCTCATTAATTGATTCATAAAGAATTGCATATAGGCTGTAGAAGAAAATCTTAGAAGTTAAACTTTACTTTGGAAATGGGTGTTATTTGTATACAGGCTAGTGAAAGTTGATATTCTCTAGCATCCTGACCAAATTCCAACTCTGACTTTGACTACCAATATTTGCTTTTTGATTTAAGCAGAATAGATGGTTAACCATTTCTTTGCGAGTGGTTTTCCATGCCAAAAGGTGGCAGCACTCCAGAAGTAGGTGAAGAAATTAATGTATGGGGAAAAGCAAAGTCACCAATCACTGAAATGGAAGATAAAGCCTCTTTTCAGCAGATCTGAAGAAGCCATTTCACAGCCAGTGACCATAAATATGAAGCACATTACAATAAGTTTCATTTCATGACAGTACTACCAACAGGCCAGAAGAGAAGTGTCAATAATTAATATCCACATGACTGTATGCTACAGTAACATTTAACAGAAAATATTAAAATATGCAAAATACTGCCCCCCATAGTCTTCATACACACTGACCGAATTTCCAGGATTACCAACTCATACATAACATTTAATTTGGGTTTGGCATAGATCAAACAATAATCTTTAAGGAAATTAAATTCCTAATAATGTAAAAATAAACACACACACACACACACACACACACACACACACACACAAATAGAAGTTCAACTGCTTTTATTAGTTATTTTAAAATATGGTTCCAAAACCCCTGAAATACAAACCCAGTTTGTTCCGTTACCCCAAAGTGGAACAGACTAGGCAATTAATCTGTAATGCCAACTAGAGCTTTATAATTATTTAAAACAAAACAAAACAAAGTAAATCTGGCAAGTTTGAAAATATCCTACTGTGCTATTGGCAATGAACTTCTTTTATCCTTGAGCATGCTGTTTAATTATGTGACTATAGGAAACCTAAGTAATAAGAATCCTTAATTACTACCCAATTACGCAATTAGGTAACAGTTATTAGAACTGCCTAATTATGCACATATTTACTGAAAGAATAGGAAGGATTGACGAACTACCATGTTCTAAGTTTGGCAGAAAAAACACTTTTAAGAAGAGAAATTTAATACAAAAAGCTGCCTTTGTATATAACGCATGGTTTGTGATACTACAGCTTTAAAGCTAAGGCTGAAATGCAATCCTTGAACTGTCGTGTTCATTTTTCCTCCTCACAGTACTAATTCAGGACAGTATCAGTAAGGGGAGTTAACCCTTAACTTAAAAACCCTTGTTTCTGCTGTATAATTATTTCACAATAGCACAGCAGGTCAGGCTAAATGTCACAATTAAGGGTGATGGGCACAAACCAAGGCCCCGTTCATCAGGCTACAGGGGAACTATTCTCTTCTATTCTGGCTCTTACATTGCACTCACCACCACAGCATGTGAGTGCCTCCATCTAGTGGAAAGAAGGAAGGGAGAGAGGCACACTATGCCAACAAAAAATTCATTTCATTTTACTGAGTACGTTCTGTTCTGAGCTGTAATTAAGATTCTGCCAAGAACTTCCATTATGAACCCTGATTTTTTCAGGCATTTAGAAGTTTGCCAGAAAAATACATCTGACCTTGGCGCACATTTTCAACTGGAATGGGTTTCTATATCCTGTGCTCACAAAGTTGGACTGACTACTTTGAGGACAGATTTTTTAAATATCCACTTCAGACTTTTGTTTGCTCTTTCTTCTAGCAAAACACACCGATGTTTAACAGGGTGCTGCCAGCCTGAGTTCTTGATCTGGACAGATTTTTCTTTTCCTTCAAAACTAAAATATTTAATTTTGATATTAACAGGAACGGATTCCTGGTTCCAGGCAGCAGCTCCTGTTACTAAGGGGATAATGGAAACTATAATCAGATTCTGCATTTACAGTTTATACCTTTTATCTAATAACCTTTCATAATTACTTTCTTCAACTTCATCCCAAAGCATACTGCTGCTCTGCACCACCCACCTAGCTAGATGTCACCCTCCTGGTTTAGGTCAGAAGGCAAGTGGATTTTTGCTGTGGGAAGCCTTATGGTAATGGGCATGCTTTCTCTTAGTCTTTTCCCAGTTCCCTCATCCTTACTTTTAAACACCATCTAAAACACTTGATTGTATAGTGTTTTTTCCCCTTTGTTTGTTTAAAAGAGTTTGTTCCTTAAGAAATAATGAGTCCCGGCACCTAGTTCATTGGTTTAACTACTAACATAGCCCCTTCCTTTTTAGTTGTGTTCTTACATGAACTTGATGGAAGGAAAAAGTTGGTTAATAAACTTGTCATTACAGAATGTAACTTAAACATTATTTCAGGGACAATCAGACTTTATCCACCTCTGCCATTTCAGCACTTGTTTGGAGACCTTGACAAGCCTTAAATCTCAAACACAGAACCACTAAAGTTTAATGGGAAAATGTGTTTGAATGACAAAAACCCTTCAACATCCCAAGCAGCTTCACAATTCTGACACTCTTTAAACACTTAGAACAGTTAACTGTGCTATTATGATTTTAGAAGGTTGCACTTCTGAAGGCAGCTTTTAAAGTGTTTTGACCTATTCATTTTAAATCCTGTAGACTGAACAGTGCACATGCAATGACAACCTGAGCTGGTAAATGCAAACACCTGCTGGGAAAATGGCTACCCTTTAAAACCAACAAGGGAGCAAGGAGGATGTGCTCAGCCTTTTCTGTTCTTTCCTAGAAATCCCCTACAGAAAGTCAAGAGCTTAACTCTGTGTAAGAAGGCACTGCTAGGAAGGGGTACTATTGTACCCTCCCTCCAGATTTGAAAGCCAGGGATTTAACTCAATATGGGGAGGCACTAAGGTGCTCAGTTTTACCTGAGTGAATCCAAGTTTGATCCGTCTTTGTTTGAAAGTCTTGGCAAACTGCTCAAGCTCCTCAAGGTCACTGGGCTCCTCCAAGCTGGGAGTGTCAATTCGCTTTGGTGTTGACTGGCTCTGTGGAAGTGGCTGAATGGGGGTCGCTGCTATTGTGCGTGTTGGGGTTGCTGGCTGTTGACAGGAGACAGGAAGAAAATTAAAAAAAAAACCAAAAACTTACGCCTTTATTCATTTATTTATTGAGAACATACAAGGAAGATAAATCTCATTAAGAAGCCGGATTATTTGATGCCAGGGTTTTGCCATTTCCATTCTCCTCCAATATGGTCATCACAATCCACACAACTATATTAGTATTCAAGGAGGCCTGGGCCAATGTCAATCAGGGAAAACAGTGAATGTGCTGCATACCAGCTTACCAATGGCTTCCACTTGCAATATAAGCTGCTCTAAGGAAAGCTGCTCCCTTCTTGCTTGGTTCAGGTTTACTTTCTTTTCAGAGTTTGGCACTTATCCACTTTTCTGTATTTTAAAATTAAATTTGCTGTTAGCACAAGGTGCCAGATAACTACCCTACAAACTCGACTCTCTCATTCATCCTCAGGAAGGATACAGCACAGGCATCAAGGCAAGTTGTTCTATTGCTGTTCACAAGCATGAATCAACCTTGACCTGACAGGATCATTTACGAGGGAGGCATTACTTCACTCTCCTTGGCCCCTATGTTGAGACTGACAACAAGGAGTGTAATGACAACGACATCAAAACATGAGGAACTGTAACTGACTGAAAAAGATTTTTGACTCTGCAGTGTAACTGTATAACTTCCAGTAATCAGCAGGAAGTTTTCTATACTTAACCACTAGTCCACAGATAGTAAGTGATATAGTTAGAGTCTGAGATGTGCACTGTAGATACACTCTCAGATGAGGATCCATGTAAATAAAACACATTAAGAGAACCTCAGGGTTAGCACAGTTCAGGTTATCACATTTTGTCTGAATACTGCAATTTTTTGACATCTGATTGCAAAACTTCCTCCTTGCAGGGAGGCAAATTGTTATGAGGCAAAAATGAATCCTTTCCAATGGCTGCATTTTGTTTAGTGCTGCTGAGACAGGAGGTGGCTTTATACTTGTTTTAAGCCCTTTGTCTAGCATTGAGACTGCTCATACATCCAGCACAACTCACAGCTGTTTTTAGCTATTCTGAACCAGCAGAAGAGGCAAACTTTTTTGGAAGGTTTACCAAAAATTAGCCCTGCAGCCTCCATGAGTGTCACTGCAATCCCTTACCCCTGTCTGGTTTGTGATTCTTCCTTCTGCTCCCTTCCCCAGCTGCTGCTGTTCTTTCCTTCCAGCCCTATTTGCCGCCGTGCTGCCTGTTCCCTCCCTAATCTACCATAAACCACTTGTGGCAAATGTGCCACACACTGGCCACCCCTGTTCTACATTGCAGTGACTTGTAATGGCCTCTAGACGATGACTCCACAACACAGCAAAGACTCCATTTTGCCTACAAAACTGAATCTCCATCTAGCTCTTTAAGCTGGCTTGCTTAAGTGTTACCACTTTTCTGCAGTGTAGAACAGATGGTAAGAGGTAGGATTTGGCTGACAGTCCTGAAATTCTATTGTTTGAAATATAACATGCCTAACATGGAATATTTTCCACAATCTTGTAAATGTGGCAGATACTATAATGTTTTAATCTTACATTCAACTATATCTCATAATTATGGCAGTGTATCTTTACTGAATTTCATTTTTTATAACTTCAGTTGTTCTCCCTCTAAGTTCTGTTTTAGTAGAGAATGGGTAGCTAATTGATAACCGAGCTGTAAACTACAGAGTTAATTCAACTATCCTAGATTGTATATGGGACGCGTAAATGGTAAGAGTACAATTTATTATGTATTTTTCACAGGATTTTGATTCAGAGTCTAGTATATCCATATGATGCTGAAAATACTAGAAGCATAACCATGTTAGCAAAAAAATATTGTATGTTACGTTGTATATGAGAAACAGCACAGTTATATGGTTAGAGATTATTATAAAAACAAACAAACAAACATGCAGAAGCAGAGTTGCAGGTACACTGCAAACTTAAGAAGTGGCATTAAATTCTGAACGCTTAATCAGAATTGTTATTGTTTTCTTAATTGAATATTTAAGCAATATTTAATATTTAAGCAATTCAATTTTTAAAAGTAATAGATACATCGCTAAAAAAAGATGGCTCGAAATAGGAACGTATTATCCTACCCCGCTGCTTGTGTTCAATACTGACTCAAACTACCAAAATCTTCCACTTTCAGAAAGAGACCAATCATGGACATTTTCAACCAAAACAATAAAGAGTTTGGGAAATTATAAGTGAATAAAAATGGAGTTAATCTGAATGGAAACTGTCAGGCAGCTATAACAGTTACTGCTACTACCAATATAATGTAATCATCTAGAAAGCTAAAAACCTGTAAAACAGGTCACAACATCTATTATGCAGCTAACATCTAGGTACCCTTCTTCACATACATTAGTTTAAGGCCCCCAAAGAACTGCTGACAAGCTGCAGAAGGGAAGACTGACCTGCGAGGCAAGGGTGATGCTTGGCTGAGACTGCAGGAGGTTGGCTTGGCTTTGCTGAGGTAGTTGCGTTAAGAGATTCTGCGCTTGCAGGAGACCTGGAAAGAGAGGATGGTGATTTGGAAAATTATTTCAAATCCTTTGAAAAAGGTGGCTTTATGAAGCAGTAGCCAATTAAGTAAAACTGATGAGAAGTTGGGGGGAGAGGGGCGCAGGTTTCAGCCTCTGGTCTCTTCTTTGGTTGAGCATCTTTAGCATCTTCTCAATCCACATTTTCCTGAATTTCTCTAAGAATGGGGGAAGGGGAGAATCAGATTGTGGCACAGAGCCTGGGACATAGTACAAGATGCCTGAGGCAGTGCCTATATTATAAGTAGGAATTATTTATTAATCTTCCAACTTACAGCCTTTGAGGGTACATCTTTGCTGCTTCTTTCCAATTCAGTACCTAAGCAGCTAAGTGGCCAAGGGTTAAATGGCCAAGTCAAAATAAATTCAAATAATTGATGATCATTAAATGTTACACTTTCCAAATGGAATTTCAGTTGTCAGACTGTCCCCTTCCTCATCACCCCTCCACCCAGAGAAGGTAAGTGGCTTCAGCAGAGTAAAGTAGTATGACAGACACAAGGAGAAACACATCTAGATACCCTTTTTCTTGTTTCTCCTCTTTTTTTTAAAATCAGCAAAGGAAACTTTAGAAAAACTAGATGAAGTTTTAGAAAAGGTACTAAAAATTGTTTAGGTGTTACATGATAAAAGATACATTTTAAAGGGAATACAGCTTGGAACCCCATCTAATGAAAAAGGAGAGGCATTCAAAGAGCAGTCAGGCACCATGACATCAGTACTGGTTCCAAGTCAACAAATTACAGCCAACTGTAAGCACTAAAATGTAACTCAAAAAAACTGGATCTGTCCTATGATGCAGCCAGCTCAGAAGGTATTTCTCCTTGCAGGGAGGAATTTGCTCTCTATGAAATATTTCAGGAAATGGAAGAGTCTTAGGTCCTATAAAACAAAGGCCAGAG